GTGATACGGCTACCATTTATCTATGCCAGCTTCCACTTGCTGTTTATATTTCATGCTTTAACCTCTGCAAGAAAACAGAAAAAGAACATCTTCAGATTTAGGGCAGGGACCATAAGGCTTGCATTCTGCGCTGAGAGAAAGAGCAGAAGGAGCTGGGTAGAACCATACGATGGAACAGGGCTGCTGCCCTGCCCATTGCACAGAAGCACCCTTACAAACTGAAGCCCACGTCTCTTCCAGGGCCCAGTGGGTCCTCTTGGGACAAATGAGAAGCTCTTCTGCCTAACAGACACATCTTATTCTGTAATTAGACTTTAAATCAAAACTAGTGGGATTGAGAGACAGTGCTGCCGAGACATAGTCACTCTAGATTTAGTTTAAAATTTGAGAAGAACCCTGAGCAGATAAATTTGCTCAATCTTGGATCATAAATCAGGTCTTCTTTTGCATTTCAGTTCCAGGATGTAATACATTAGGTTGTCCCGTAATTAAACAAGCGACAGCTGAGTCCTGTTCAAATAGGAATGTAAGAACAGTCACCTCTTGACATATTAAGATATATTTCAAATGTAGTAATCAACTATCCGATTGGGGAGAAATAACATTTTCATTGTTGAGCTCTTTAAGACATTACCCGCAGGGGCATAAAATTGCCCTGGAGCTCCCTAACTTCTAATGGCCCTGTCGACTCCCAGTGATGCTGTTTCTGTATTTATGGAGTGAAGCCACTTCACCTAGGAGCTGCTTGATAAAATACCTCACTATGTATTTCCCTGGAAGCAGGCTCTCTGCTGTGCCAGCAACATATGCTAAAGGCCAATTTAGAATGTTTTAAATATGCACCATCCCCTTCCTTTTCCAGCTACTAAAATGAAATGCTGTTTGGCTTTAGCAAAGTAGGATGGAGAGAGAGGAGGAAAGCGGCAGGAGAAAATGGCGAGGGGGATGGTTGTGCTCCCGCTGCACTGTGTATTGGAACCCAGGCCACTGCTTGAGTCTTTTTGTTGTTTGTCCTTTTTGGCTGTCAATACCCACAACACAGGGGCATATGGTAGAGGAGGAAGTAAGGTCAGTGACGTGAAAAACCATTCACTGACAAAGGCAGTCGGCAGTATCTATCTGCTCTAACCAAGAGTCACCAAAGGACACGATTAAGTTAAGAACTCCACTGATAACTAACCCAAGTACTCAAGGACTACATGTTCCATTTTTCAGTGACCCCGAGTGGAAAATAAAGTAGTTAGGAGGACAGAGATGTTATGGTTTAAGCTAATGGATGCTGTAAAATGATAGTTTATATCTCAGGAGGAAGTTGAGGGCACATTATTGAGAACTAAATGAAAAGACAATGGCCATCTCTTGTCTGCATTTGATTTGAGTTTTGAGATTCAAGTCATGGTTCACTTCCACGGCACACGTCAACCAAGGGGAGAGATATTAACAATGGTTGTAAATTGATAATCAAGACTACATTTAGCAATATGATGGAAAGTCACCAGCCAAATACTGTGAGACATGCCCACTTGCCTGCATTTAGAGGCATGGCTTCCCGGGTTCCCGTGCCTCCTTCTGTGGTCACATTGCCACAAGTAGTCTTTGCAATGTTTAGAATGTGCTTTTCCTCTAACCTGTCAGGTGGCCTCCATCTTTCCCGTCACTTTGCCATGAGTCAGTCTGGGTATTGGTGATGATCATAAAGACTTTGATTTGGTGCTGAATTTTATTCTCAATCGATAAAATGAAACTTTGGAAATGTAGGTGACATTGACTCAACCAGTCTATTGCCATATTTTGATAGACATCTGTGTTTTTGACATAAGAACATATATATTATTGTATGTTGTGTGGAACATTGATATGACCAGCCATGTATCCCAGTGGGAAACAGGCACCATCTTTCTATGCATGTGAGATGTTTCTGGCTCCTAGGCTATTTACATTATGCAAATAGTCACAATGGTAACTGCTTTATGCCGATGAAACCCCCTTATTAGAGTTTTCATGCTTTTATGGAATGAACCATGTGGTAATTCAGTAGAAACTGGATGAATGATTGCTGCTTTGTTGGTGGGCCACCAGATATTACAGTTTTTAAAAAGAGACAGTGGTCTCAAAGAGGTCACAACTACAGACACCATGGGTAAAATTAGAGGAAGTAAGAAAGAGAAGTTTGCAGGAAAGGGCCTAAGAAACATACTGGCCTGTTGAAGTGGTGGCTGTGTCACTCATAGCATCTAGAAATACTGGCATGCAAAGTCATTCTTTCTTGATGTGTGTTTCTTCTTTAATGTGAGCCCAAGCTCATGGAAGCTGCTTCCTGATGGAAAAGGATGCCTCTCTGTGACTGACTGCTGCACTTTACTCTGTGACAGATGAGAATTGATGTGAATGAGTCAAGAGCTAACACTGCCATCTGAGGCTTGTTTTACACGCTGACGTTCCCCTGAGTGCTTGGGTTAGGGGTTTGGAATCAAGTAGTTTGGCAGAGAAGAGGAGCAGGGCTTGTCCTATATTGGTGTTACCCTAAAGGAAACTGGTACCCACAGTTTTAAGAGGGTGCCATTTTAAGAAGAGAAGTAGCTACAACGGTGGGGCTGTCACCCTATGGGGGCCATTGTAGTTTCAAAGACAGAATGTGCTTTAGAACCCAGTAAAACTTGGGTTCTGATTCTATCCCCACTACTTATTTCTTACTGTGAAAAACTGAGCCAAGAGGATAATATCCCATCTGAATGTTGTTCCTGGTTGGTGAGGTAGACATATTATAACTACTCCATATGGTTGTTTTGAGTATTTCATGGCATATGTGTGTCATGTATGTAGAACACACACATATATCCCCAGTACAGCAGATGCTTGCTGTATCAGTAAATGGGAAAGAGAACTGAAACCCCATCTAGAAGGAGAATTGTCCCTCTAGGGAGGGAGAAGCAGACCTGTGGGCTTGAAGTTAGCAATTTAATCTCTTAGGAAATGTAACGTGAAGTGTGTCAGCTCTGAGGTCAGACCACTTTGGTTTCAGCTTCCTTCTGTCTTTTAGCTGTGAACACTGTGCACATGGCTAGATTCCCTAATCTCAGTTTCTTTGTCTTTGAATGGATATAGCAATAGTGAATATTCTGTGGTGCTGTGATGGATGTTAAACTGAAATAATGAATGTAACATACTACGTACTCAATAATATTGGTCATGCTTGTGTGCTCCTTCACAGTAAGGAGGCCGTGACCACTTTGTACCCACAAAAGGGGGGTTGGTATAAAATATCTAGTCCTAGTCCTATATTTTTCTTTTATACCTAAGCACATTATATAATAATTTTCATGGATTTCAGTTAGTCATTCTTTATATATATATATATATATATATATATATATATATATTGTCTATTCTTTGACATATAAATTATTAACAAATGTGCTAATTAAAGATCTGAAACAAAACGGACAGGCCTATAATTCCATCACTTAGGAGGTAGATACAGGAGGTTTTGGAGTCCAAGGCCACTCTTGGCAACATAGCAAGTTCAAGTATGGCCTCTGCTACATAACAACCCATCTCAAAAAACAGACAAGCAAACAAGGATCTGACAGGTGATTATCATCTTCAGCAACTGATAGAAGAATGTTTGTTGCTAGAACAATCACATTCTTAAAATGGGCACCTCAGCAGTTCACTTACCTCCCGTGAGAGTAGAGCATCAGCTGAGGGTTACAGATCAACCCAATGTAGACTGGGTTTTCAGTTCCACAGTCTGCTACATTAACATTTCAGTGACGTTAGCAGAGAAAAACGGAAAAGATAAAGTAAACCCGAGGTGCCAAAGAAAAGTGGCAATGTAGCCTTTTATGGCAGGATAACAGAATTCTAGAATAAAAATAATAGCAGAATGAATCCAGGTGACAACAGTTTTTTAATTTTCATTTTCAATTTGAGCACTATCATATGCTAGTCAAGCTAGCATGAGTGACACTTAGGGAAGGAGAGAACGCCCCCCCACCTTGAATGTCTTTAAAATCTATAATAATAATATAATAGTATAAAGTGCATCTGGGCATCGCCTTCTGCTGCAGTTCTTGTCTGGCTCTCATCCAAAACTGTCAGGCTACTCTTGAGAACTGATGATTCATAGCCCGGCACCTTTTATCTCAACATTGCAATGTCTTTTCTTTGTACTTTAGCACTGATGTTACCTTGATGTTCAGAAATTTTTCTTACATCTTAACAAATCATTGTCTGCCAGTAATGGAGAAAATGTAAACTCATGATCATTACAAACACAAAGAAATAAACACCCGTGGTTTTGTAGGAAATGCCTGTATATTTGAGGATCCTAACTGAACTGTAAATGTTCTGGTAACTTCCTCTTGTTTTTTGAATCGGCACTTTTCAAACTCAAGATTCTCTTTCTATGCTCCCCTCTGCAGAGACTTGAGGAGCCATGGGAGGCAACCAAGACATACTCTCATTGTTATACTAGCCTATGTGAAAGGAAATGGAGGCCCTGGTGGTTTATGACTTACACTCATCAGATACAATCTTTAAAGCCAGGTCTACTCTCTCAATGAGTACTTCCCCCATGTTCCTTTGTGTCTCAGAGAGGAATCTTTGTCAGAGAATATTTAGCATTGAGAATAAAAGTGGTCTTTTTCTCCTGGGCCTGAACAGGAGTCCCATGGTGCTGAAGGGCTCATTACTGCTTGGGTCCTACATTTTAAGAAATCGTTGGAAAACCGGAGGACATGAGGAGGGTCTTAAAATGAGGAGCCTGGGAAGCATCCCAGAGATAACCAAAGGGATGAGGATTTTCATGTTCGAAGAAAGGAGGCTACCGACGCAGTTGACATCTCTAAATGGTTTATGGACTACCTTGTGGAAGAGGAATTAGATTCGCCCTTTGTAACTCCGGGAAGCAGAAGTAGGGCCAGCGGGTAGAAATTACACAGAGGCAGATTTATGCTCAATATAGGAAGAAAGTCTCTAACATTTAGAGATGTCCAAAAATGGAATCGACCAGCTCATCATCCCTGGGAAGTGTTCGTGTGAGACTGACTGTCCGGCTTGAGTATTATGGGACTTTATGGGTGTTGTATTTCAGCAGTAACACAGTTTTATGGTGAACCTTTCTGAGGGCTTAGGGAAAAATTTCCTCACTAGCTAAAAACAAAGGCGTTTTCATTTTTATAAGCTCTCTGGCCATGATTGTAGACTGAGAAGGATTTACCTATAGGATTCTTGCTTCCCATATCACTGTATTCTGTGAAATACTTTCCAGTTGATTGGGGAAGATAATAATTAAAACAGAGAAGCTATGCTTTTATAGATCTGAACTGGCACAGACATGTGGTATTTACAGAGCCGGTGTGTTTGTGTGTGTAAGCGTGCGCACACACATGTACCTGTGCACTTACATTTGCAATGTTTCCTGTCAGGCTCTGCATCATAACAGTGCTCAGTAAGAACTTGTCCCACTATGTGCTTTAGCTCCATAATTATTGAGGTGGTCCACTATTGATTCCGAGGAGAACCACTTTCCCTGTACGAATTATCCTTTCTTTCTGTTTTTACAATAGATTCCAGAGGGGTGACTACCACATTGACGTCTGTATCAATGACTACCTGGATGTTTTCTGCCCACACTATGAGGACTCTGTCCCAGAAGATAAGACTGAACGCTATGTCCTCTACATGGTGAACTTTGATGGCTACAGTGCCTGCGACCACACTTCCAAAGGCTTCAAGAGATGGGAGTGTAACCGGCCTCACTCTCCAAATGGACCACTGAAGTTCTCGGAAAAATTCCAGCTCTTCACTCCCTTCTCTCTCGGATTTGAATTCAGGCCAGGCCGAGAGTATTTCTACATCTGTGAGTACATAGAGATTTATTGTGTTGTGGGGCAGCTGCATTTCTTTTTAACCTATGTTTTGGAGAACTTTTAGAGCTGGACCCTGAATTACAGATGTCTCCTTGTAAATGCGTACATCATGATCCCTAGATACATTAGCTGGGAATTGAGAGCCCAAATTAGATTAAAGACACACCGCTTCTTCCCCTATGAAATTGCGTGTCAGCCTGTTCAGTGAACCACTGCTGACTTGTATTTCTTTTAAATGAAAATTGCCAGGACTTTTTTTTTTTTTTTTAAGCTTGGGGAAAGAAAAAAAAAGATTCCTGAAAAAAAATTAAAGGAAATAATTAAATTTACATAACTTGGAGTCACTGCATTTCTTATTCAGGTGTCAGCAATATCCTTTCAATCATCCACATTTTTAGTGGAGAAAGCCACCGCTCCTGCAAATGTCAGCATGCTGACGATAAAATACTTGCTTTGCACCGAGGAGGGAAGACAATTATTAGGAGCAGCTGTGTCTTTCGACAGGCAAGTGTGAAGAAGTATCTAGGAAGAGTTCCACAGGAACTGGTTGCTCACCTGTGAGTGTTGTGTGACTAGCCTGAGAGAGCTCTGACTGTTCTCAGCGGACTTGCATTAGTCACAAGGCCACGGCCCACCTTCCGCCCCACCCCAAGCGGCATTGCTAGTTCAGGTGTCATACTCTTAATGATTATTCTGAAGTGCTTCTCTGACTTCGCTATGCACGAGACACCTGAGGGTCTTCTTGTCACACAGATGTGGACTTGAGGTCTGAGGTGGGTCCTGAGATTTTTGCATGCATTAAGTTCCCAGGTAGTGTTCCTGTGGCTGGCCTATGGGCCACACCCTGAGGGACAGGGTTGTAGACAATACCAGCTGTAGGCCTCTTGGTGCATAGCTGACCATTTTTTACTCTGAAATATTTAGACTCTAGTTGCTAGACTCTAGCCTTTCCCATGTTCACTATTGGCTGAAGGTCATGAACGCCTGTTTTGCTCGTTCATGGTACATTTATTGAGGAGCTCATGTTAGCCCTGAAATGCTGGGAGGTACGAGATGAAGATGTTCCATATTTTTGAGTAGGAGGCAGACTTCTAAAGAGGCAGTCCTGGTAAGGACAGGTGCTGAGCAGTGATGCATGCAAGGGCCAGGAGGGCTTGAGGCCTACCTTCTTCAGGAATGAAGAGCGGTTGCTCCTGCTGTGTAGAAATCCACCTGATACCACTCTGTGTGCTTGGATTCATTTTCCCACATCAGCTCACCAGACAGACAAACAAGACAGAGAACATTCCTGGTTTTGTGACTCAGTTCTCCCATCCAAATGTCTCCACCCACATGCTTTCTCTCCACCTTCAGAAAAGGGAATTTTACAGTCAGTCAGATTTCACCGTCGCCAAGGCTCTCTCACTTCCATTGGAATTGGATTTAAAAAAGGAAATTGAACAGTACCAGTTTTATTATTTCAGTACATACTTCTGTTTTTAGTCATGAGAAAACATGTAAAAAATAAAAAAGCCTTGATGCTATCTTATATTCAGTCCATAAAATAGGAAAAGGAAGACTGAGTCTCACAGATGCAGGGAAGACTGGCACCCAGTGACCCCTCACGTCCTCAGGCAGGGCCGTCACGGCGCCACTGACTCCTGTGTGAAAGAATCCTAGTCAGCAAGGGAGGGGGGCAGGAAAGAGGAGGTATTCAGTGGTGGGGAAGCATTAATTTCATTAATCCCCCAACTGTAAGTTGCTGTATTATAAGCGGGAAATTATTACCAGAACGGATATCTTATTGACTTCTCAGATTTAAAAACCAACCAACGCATAAACCGAAAACACGGAGATAACATCAAGGTGGGAAACACACTCACTGGCTAAACTAGTTGATTGCATGATTATTAGAAATTATAGAATCCATTGAGGTCCATAAGCAAGATGCTATTCACATATACTGTAGTGCTTATGACTGGGTTTCTCCTCATTTGTGGTTAAATTCAATATTTCACTAAAAATCATTATGTGTCTTCTATAACATTCATTTAACGGAGTCATTTAACTGTCAAGGGCTCCCGTCAAAGTAATTGTTCCAAAATGCTTCAAAATATCAAGAGCTTTTTGCTGTTCAGCCGAGTTTAACTTAAATTACTTTTTTTAATGAAAGGTAAAATAGCACAAAATTAAGCAGCAAAGCGATGTTCATTTACAAGAGGCACAGTGGCCTGGTGTTCAATTAAATGGAGTTTTCAACCATGTTTTCAACCCACAAAGGCATCCCTCGCTGTCTGCTCCACAGTGAAAGGCTCTCCTGTCCTCCTCTGCTGGGAACAGTGACACAGCTACCATGGGCGTCCCAGCACGTTCCGTGTTCTCTGCTCATAATTAAAGCCAGGACTCTTGAGGGGGACCTGGCCCTCAGTTGGATTTCCCTTCTCCTAAGATGTGTGGAAGGAACACAGTGATTGGGAAAGGGCTTCTTTCACACTTGGTACACCCATCTTAGAAACAACCTTAACGGCCCAGCGGTAGAAATGAGAGAATGTTCTTTTGAGGACAAAGGGACCAGGTGTCTTAACATCTCTTCTCACGTCTCCAAAACCAGGAAGAGGGAGAAGCCCACAGCCTACCATCTGTCCCGATTTAGGCCTAAGCTCAGCTGTGAGGTGGCGGGGCAGAAGGATAGACACAGAATTGGCAGAAAAGGCAAGGCAGGCATTTCGTAGCAGGGGTACCCAGACTCAGACAACACACAATCTGGGGGATTCTCATCCATATCCCCTTCATCTTCAGGAGGGCTTATCTCCCTGGATTTCTTTGCATTGCATAAGTCAAGAGAATTTGGGGTGTCTGGTCTACCTTCAAGGTGAAGTATCCTTCGATGCTCCAGCTCCTTCCTTCATCTCTAATGAGGGCTTGTCATTGACCCCCTTCTCTCGGGGGCAGTCTGCAGATCAGAGTTGTGACACCTTGGGACTGCTCCCGAGTCTGACCAACAGCTTTTAATCCCTTGATAAGAGGAGTGGCATCCTAAAGTGGCTACGGAAAGATTGGTGGCGTTTCTGTCAGTAATAACAGATTCTCAGAACTGCCAGTCAGTTGATTAAGGCAATACTCATCTGTATAGACTTTACTGGGCATGTTCAATGTTGCCCAATAGCCCGGATATATCCTATGGCAGCGGTGGCTAGGAGTGTGGCCCTACACGTTAGTAGACCACAGCTTGGCGCCCCAATGCTAGTGCTTTTTATAAGGAAATAGAAATTTTAACAATTAAAAATAGTTTTGAAATGTTCCTCACAAATACTAACATTTAGAGAACGCATTTAGAAGAACACTTTCTGCTCTTATATCTATATCAGAAGAGATAAGAGAAGTCACTAAAATAAGGACATGAAGTCCATAGAAATACTGATTTGAAGGCAGGCTTTCCTTGGGGGGGGGGTAAAAACGGTGATTGCCTAGCCCATCAGTTGCTGTAATGAGCTATTTGAACTCGAGTAAATCATCTAATGTCTTTGGAGCTCTAAGTCTACATCTGTAAAATAATGTGGCTGAAATGAATGATTTCAGAAATTGCTTGAAACTTTAATATCCTCCTGTTATTAGTTTTTATCTGAGGTCTGCAGCTTCGATAACATCTGTGCAGTGGCCCAACATGGTGCTGAGTAGGATTCAGTAAATGGCGACCAAGGGAAATCTGCGAGAACACGCAGAGTGGAGAGTTGTGTTGAATCTTACTCCTGTCACCACTGTCTGTCACAGGATCCTCTGTGACTCCCCAGCTCCCAGCACGGCTGCGCCAGCCCTGTCTCATGTTGTCTGAACCAGGCCAGCAAGGTGCTCCATGGTTTCATTCTTCCTCTCCCAGCCATCCTCCCTCTGATTGTGCCCCTCCTCCCTATTGCAGTCCCGCTGTCCTCCATCCAACTCCCTGTAGCTAGGAAGCACACCCCACTTGGGGTGGGGCTTTGGCACTTTAATGTCTCTCTGCCTCATTCATGTCCCTTGCTCTTACTCTTTTTAGAGGTGTGTTAATAAACGTCTTTATCACAAAGGCTAAATAAAAATATAAAAATAACACTTTTTTATTGTACTCCACACCCTTTCTGTCTTGTGTTATTATTTTTCCTCAGGCACTTATCACTCTTGACATTAAATATTTACGATTTGTCCTTCAGAGCTGTTTCTGCCCTGTGGCATGTATTATACTGTTCTTCATGGAGAACATGTTCAGTAACTAAGAGTAAACACAACACATACCCCGTCCTAAGTACTGTTCTGAGCGCTTGGTCGTTAAAACGGTACCGTGAGATAGTGTTCTTCTTTTGTTGTGAATGAAGAAACTGAGGCGAAAGTTGGATAACATGAAAAAACGGTCCAGGGGCATAGCCTATGAAAGAAACGAAGAGATACAAGTTCTCATGTACTGCAGAAGGAAGAGTCTATGTTTTTATTTTTTAAGATTAGAAATGGGCTCCAGAGATGAATCAGTGAAGTACTTTCCAGACAGGACGTGTGTTTGGATCTTCAGTGCCATGTGAATGCTGGGAGGGTGTAGAGGCTTGTTTGTTATCCGAGCACAGAGAGAGCAGAGACATTTGTGTATCTTCATCCCTTCAAAGGATGCTTTCCTGTCTCCATGATCAGCTCTGTCCCTCTAGGCAGCTTCCAAAGTCAGAGGAGTTGCATTTTCTAAAACAAAAACCTTACATTTGCTATATGCACAGAGAGATGCCCAAATTGGATTATGATTATCTCTGGGCCCCCGAGTTAGTCCATCTTTGTTGTTTTGTTGTTGTTGTTTTGTTTGCTTTTTCAGGACAGGTTTTCTCTGTGGAACAACTCTGGCTGTCCTAGAAATAACTCTGTAGAGCAGGTTGGCCTTGAACTCAGAGATCTGTCTGTCTCTGCCTCCCAAATGCTGGAATTAAAGGTGTGAGACACCACTGCCAGGCATATTAGTGAATCTTAATGAATATCATTTTCAGAAAATGACAATATG